CGTTCGATCGGTGCATCAGAGGATGGACGATCATTTCGGGGCTCGGCGTGAGATCGAGAAGATAACGGTGAGATATTGAAAAAAAGACGAGACGAGTTCATCACACCCGTTTCTCACGTTTCCGTTTTCGAGGATAGAACGAGATCGGATTGTTGACCAATCAGTTGAGGAGTATCGCAAGAAAGATGGTAAGGATCGTGAGAGAGAGGAACGAGCGATCGTTGACCGACACAGGCTTACCCTTCCTCTTCGAATCCACGTGCAGCTCCATCTTCGCGCGCCTCGAGGATCTCGCGAAGGCACGAGCGGTAAGTCGAATTTGATAATGTAAAATTACCCGTTTGTTATTGATATTCGAAACAGAAGCGGGAGCGAAGCGGGCACGAGCTTCGATGCAACGTCGAATTGTTGTTGGCGTTGCTGCGGTCGAACGTGGCCGAGGACAAGTACGAGGCGCTGAGGACGGCTATAGGATTCGAGCCGTCCGATCGAACGGTAGGTAAAATAGAATTTTCTTTTACCCATATAATTTGTGTGCATAACCGAGTCCGATCGGAAAGGATTGGGAGGAGATCGCGAACGCGGGGCTGGCCGCGTTGCTCAAGTCCGTGTCGAGGAAGAGCGGTGGATTTTCGGAGACGAGATCGTGGACCGGCTTGGTTCCAATAACGTCCGAGAGAGAGATGGCGAAAGTGAAGACTCGGCTGAGCCACGCGATAGGACGACTCGGTGCCTCGAGGGAATCGGACATCGCGGAGATCGAGAACAACGATTTTCCTCCAGAATCGGCGTAACCGAAGAAGAAACCGAGGCCGAGTGATTCGTCGTCGTGATTCATCGTGGCGCCGCGATTCCGCTTTCCCGACTGGTTAATTAATGGCGAGGATGACGGCGAATAGAGAGAGAGAGAGAGAGAGAGAGAGAGATCGGACGACTCTGTTTCTCTCGAACGCGATGATATAATCGGTTAATAGGTGGAGACGTTACTTTTTCCTTTCGCTCGCCCGTGTTGCCGATCGCGCGGAAACGCGGTGGTTTCCGATTGCGAGGGGGCGATCGATCGGCCAGGGTTAAAAAAGGAGGACGGAAAACGAGCGATTGTAACCGCCTCCGGAAGCGATTGATTGCGAACGCCGCTAATTAGCTCGCCATATACCGATAAAACCTGCCCCTTTGCCTCCTCGCCTCTTCGCCGCTTGGCGAGCGAGAACGGCTTTGAGCCGCCCCTCCTCTCTCCTCCTCCTTCTGCTCGGCTGAAGCAGGATACGCGGCTCGTTTCCGGAAACGCGATCGAGATTACGCGCCGACCATACGCCGCAACCTTCTTCCTTTTTCACGGCTCGAGATTGCGTCGCAACTCGACCTCAACAATATATTCCCGAGTTTCAATTTCGATCGATGAACAGGAATCGTGGAATTTTGGAAATTCTCTTCGATTTCATCGTTCCAATTATTTTTCTTGCGAATCGCGGCCGATCTCTCCGGCAACGGTCTGAGATGCCCGAGACGAGGGAGAAAGCGACGTTTTATGGACGTTAACGGATCCATAAATCATCGGTAAGCATCGGTGGTGGTCGAGGACTCGGAAGATAAGATCGAACGAGAACGCGTTAAACGACGATTAGCAACGGTGGTCCAAGGTCGAGAAGCGAACGGCCTGTAAACGGGTGATGATTCGTGGAAAACCGAGAGGTTGCGTCGTAGAATTGGAAAAGAAAATAAATTTCGAGTCAGAAATGGCCGTGTCTGTTCAACGTTCGAGCCCCGTTTATTTCGAACAAATATCCCGATCGTACTATGTTTACGATTCGAGCGTTTCGTGTATACTTTGCTAGCGTTGGTCGCGCTATGCTATTGAGAGGGAGGGGGAAGGGGAAGAGGAGGAGGAGTAATGGACGACGAAACGTTCGTTTCGAAAGAGTCGAGATATCGCTCGCGGGGCAACGATATACCCGCTTACTCTTCAGCCTCGACGTCTTCGCGTCGACACATAGCGACCGATTCGAAGGAAATGTCTCGCGTCGTAAGCGAAATTTCTCCAGGGACCGTGCCATTCGAGATTTTCACACGACCTTGGGCTCGTTATGCGAAAGAAAGTAAAAGCGATTGCGTTCCGTTCCTCTTTCACCTTTTCATCTTTACGCCACGATATTTTCGAAACAAATCCATCTTTGTAACCATATAATAAAGATTGAATTTGATTGAAAGAAAGATAAAATTGATTTCTATGCATCGATAAAATTTTTCTAAATTTCCCGACTGTTACGCGTCGTAAGGATTTGCATTTCCACGAACAATGGCAATGGAGATAGGTAGAAAGGTAGATAGATAGATAGATAGATAGATAGATAGATAGATAGATAGATAGATAGATAGATAGATAG